AGTTATGGTCACTGAGGCGGAATTATTTAAATTTTTGCGCATCCCAATATATTGCAGGGTAACAAGGTAGGTTTCAAAAGCAAAATTGTTTTTTTTTTTAACTTCTCTGTATGTTCTTAATATATTTATATTTCATTTTGTTTTGATTGATTGTCGTTTTGTAATTCACTTTTCCAAGTTGATATAAATGATGTTTGTATATTTTTATTAATTTGCCCTAATTGCCTTGCTGTTAGAATTTCATTGTTGTCAACCAGGTTAGACTGGTTGACGTTATTCAAAGGGGAGTCTACCATTCACGATTAATTTCTTAATAATAATAATTTACTATTAAACTCGAAGACATCGTAATGTTATTACTTCTACACCAGGTAACACCAATTAAAACCAACATCATTTAGAATTACTGTGGCGAATGACATTGAAATTTGCTCTTCCATAAAGCAGCAGTTTCCTCTTTTAATAATCAAAACTACCAATGATCCCCTGGGGAAGTATGTCCATTGTTTCACAACAACGACTGTCTCAAGAGATTTTCGTCTTCTCAATTTCTCAAGATAAACGTCCCAGGGTTGTTTTCTTTACTAGAAGGAAATGTTCTTTGATAGCATTTCTTGAATTAATTTCCATTGCACAAAAAAAGCAGCAAATACTGTTACTGGAGCACAGAATTGGCATGAATTTTTTTACCCCGGCCATTCACGCAAACTGCAAATCAAGACTTTTACCGCATCCATAGTTGTTGACAGCCGATGGATGATGATGGATGTATTGTGACGTATTTTGACCCTCGGATTATGACCATGCATTCTTACCACATTTACTGCCCTTTCATACTCGTTTAATTTCCTTTCATTATTTCATCCAGATTCCATGATATTTTATATTTAAAACCAACCTTTATTTCACAGTCACTCTAGTTTTCACTTTTCTAAAATTATCTTACTGATCAAAAGGCTTTTCACTCCCATCATGCAATCTCCCATAGTACTTCCGCAGACACAGCGGCGATCGCCAACATATCTACAAATAACCTCGCTCTCAGGAGCTGAGGAATAAAAATAGGTATAAATCAATAGAGAAAACACTCTGATTAAGTACAATGATTATAAAGTCTAAAAACACTGGTTATAAAGTCACAAATATCAACGGCTATAAATCAAAAACAAGGGAAAGGCTACCAATCGACTCACTTTTCTCAAAACGGTTCGCTGAGGTAACCCTTCGCTGCACTGTCTCCGTTACTAAGGTTACAAACTCTATATCAAAAAGGTAAAAAAAAAACTAAGGCGTGGCGGTGTAACCAAGCGATCGGCCAATCGCGGCCGTCGACAGCACGATCACGTGATTACCAGGGATGCGTCTCTCGGTTAAAGCATTACAAAGCGGTAACTAATAAACAATGAATAAAACCAACACGTAAACAAAAACAACTCTAGTTACGTTTAGTGTAGAATAATATCACTAACTGATGTTTAACTGAAACTACAGTATGTGGAAGGCATTGTTTAAAAATTATTATTATAATACTAACCCCCCCCCCAAATGATAGTAGATGCAGGTAGAAACTTGTATGTGCCTACTTTTACTCAGAATATTTTCTCTGTCCAAGCAGCAACCAAGAGGGGAACTAGTATTGAGTTTATACCAAATTCTTCCAACTACGTACAAAAAGCACAACATTCAATATTCGGAAAAAGAGAGAATTTGTATTATTTGAATAGCATGTATTCATATCACATGCCTCGGAAAGGTCAATAAAGCATGGAAAAGGTTTTTTCCAGATTTATTTAATTTACTAATAACATATTTAGTTATTAAAGACTTCACAGTAAAAATATTATCAGTGGTTCGATGATACTTTTAAAACCAAAATGATTGTCTACAACCTGATTACTTTCAGTCAAATATTTAGCCAGTCTGCAAAAACAGATAGAAATGTCAATACCTCCATAGTTATTGGTATCTTGTGAACTACCAGATTTGAAAATTGGAATAGTTAAACTAGAATTCTGTTGAGAAGGAAATCTAGATTAAAAAGCTTAGTCAAGGCATCAAAAGTACAGATAGAAACTTGCTTCACCTGATTATAACAATTTGATGTGGATCAAAATTTCCTTGTTAGTATAATCATGATCAAGCATTTGATTACTCTCCAATAACTAATTTCATTTTCAACAGACTCCTTCATTAGCATGTCTATTTAGACCCTAGAAATGATTAAAAATGATCTACACCAATACTGTCAATATTATGTGAATTACTTTCCACATTAAGTTGATCTAATAAATTCCAAAATAATTTTGGATCTGACTGTTCAAGTGACATAATTTTGTCACACAATTTAGTTTCAACTTAACTTATTTTAACTTTGATCAATTCTATATCGTTCTTGCATAATTAGGTTATCTTTCAGAAATCTAACGTATAAATGTGAGCAACTAATTTCTTTCTTTCTCATTTCATTAACATATTGATCATAACAATTTTGTATGTCTAGATTTTCTTCCTATTTATCTCTGGGATTAACATGATTTAGCAGCATTAGTTAAAACATCACTGAAGTCATCTACAGCTTTACTGATATCACTGTAAGTATAATTATGGGAATTATCAATTTTTATGCTTGTTGAATTTCTGTAAATAGCTTTTATAAACTTTTCATTACTACTATACTTCAAAATAAACTTCCCGGCAGAGGAGAAAGTGAAGTACAGGTATTGCATGCCCATTTGGAATGTTTGCAGCTACTAGTATGAAATAAGGTGCTAGGACCCTGGTAGTATCATGGAAACATTGGATGGACTATCTTAATTTTAAAAGGATCTGGCCTGAATGCTAATTATTCACTTAATCACATTACAGGAATGTTTACCAAGTAAATAAATCGAAATGATCATGAAACAGGGAGATCAAGAGTGTCCTCTCTCTCTCTCTCTCTCTCTCTCTCTCCTCCCCTACTACCTTCCATGATATGAGTGATGTCATGGGCTAAAAATGTCAAACTAGAGGTAAGTATCAACCATAAAGTGATTTATAGTGGTAATCTCTTATTAGGTAATCACCAGTAACGAATAAAGGGCTTAGTCTTTTTCATGAAACGAAACGAAACGAAACCCTAACCCCATTTTTTTTCATTGGCCTAATAATATCTGAGAAAATTTCACACTGTGAAACACGAAATGAATAGCGCCATCAGTGTTCGACAATTCCAAAATGGCTGTCACGTCATGTCAGCACAAATGAATCGAGCTGCAAAGTAGGCGGAAAAGAGGTGGAAACTAAATATTTTCGACAAATTTATTTCTGTTACGTGGCGATGTTTGAAGTCGTTCAAAATTTAAGGTTAGAGCTAGGGTTAGGGTTAGAATTTCGTTTCCTTTCATGGAAAACACTAAGCCCTAATAAAGTGACAATTATGTATGAATGAATTATTTACTGCACACTTTTCCTGGGGTGGGGAGGGTACAAAATGTCCATTGCTGTATCTCGACTGTCCAGTTAGAATGATATTCCACACAATAAGAATAATCTTTCTATTACACCATTATATTTACAGCATTTTAACAATGTCATTTCTTTCGGCTTTATTCAAGGCTTTGGCAAGAGCTTTGTGTGTGGCTTCTCCACCATTACGCTGATGCCACTTATTCAACATCTGACATGCCTGTTCCTGGGCGCCATAACTAGCATTATCAATTGCAATCCCATTAATCTCATGTTGTGGTATTCCTAGGTATCCCGCTACTATTTTCCATTCTCCTTGTATTTTCACAGAAACATCCAACAGTAATCTATCTGTCACAATTTTCTCTGGATCTAAAAATAAACAAAAAAAAACAAAAGTTTAGTAAATCAAAGTTTTTTAGATGAATATTTAATCATGTTATTTTTTATTTCAAGATTTAATATTATAGTTTTTAAACATTATGCTTCCAGAAAAGGGTGAAATCTTGTCGTTTTAATAACAGTTAAGATGACTTGCATGATTTTGTTTAAACTCAGTATAATGACTTTACATACTAGATTTTGGTTGCACAATACATTCAACCAAGTATGCTCAGCCGCTTACAGTATATTACCTGCAACAAGTGATCACATGCCTGAATATCCAAGAACAGGCACCCCCTGGATTGCTACTCAGTGATGCATTAAATGCATAATGAGGACTGTGCATTGCGTCAATACTTGTTTAATATATTCTACAACTGTAAGAATTTGAGATATGGATATACTCACATTGTGGTTCATACTTTTTTAAAGATTTTTTTGGTGATGTCGCTGATGACACTTCCTCCTGTGATTCGTGTGTTTCCTGTAGGGAACTTGTTACATTGGACGGTAGTTGTCTGTGGTCTCGCTCATGATTATCTAAAGTAATAATCACATATACACAACATCAATACTGATATCTCTGACTAATTATTTATATAAAATTTGAACAACATCAATGAACAATGACCATAAGGGGTAAAATATTTTGTGATGATATCATAAAATTAAGTGTTATTTAATAGTTCTATGATAGAACATACAAATCTCTTAAAATCGTGTATGTATTGATCATAGGGTTTTTGCGACTATAAATACATACCTCCATTGTCAGATGGATTTATTGGGTCAGAATCTGTAGCAATATCATCATCAACTTGTACTCCTGACATTCCGGAAGTGATTTGATCTACTGAGCTCGCTTCCTCTGGTTCCTCTGGTTGACTTCCTCGGGTCTTCTCCTGAAATGATATATGTATGTATTACTTTATTTCTTTGTACATTTTTTAGAGATAACAATTGTTATCACCTGATATAGTTTGTTTGAAGGAGCCTTTGATGTATGAAGTATTATTGTAACAAAATTACATATATCCAATGCCAAAATTATAGTATTCGCAAGATATCTGGGTCATAAGGTTTTTCACGTTTCATGTTTTTCAGCATAATAGGGTGACATCAAATCCACCAAATCCCAGACTTGCATTTTTTAACGTTAAAAATGAATGTGTAAATATGCAACAAGTATCAAAGTAATCAGACTTGTAGTTTTTAAGAAGAAGCCAAAAGAGTAAAAAGTTAATGCAGCCGACGACTGACAATCACTTGTATGATAAGCTCCGATTGACAAAGTCGACAGTGGCGCTGAAAAAGAGTAATTATTCGCAAATGCGAGACCACTCTGGGGGAAATTACCATATTTGGAAGATAATAATCAGACTGCCGTAAGATGTAATTTGCTTTATGACAGATGTACAGCATTGCATATTTTTAATTGATGTTGTTAACTAAATATTTATAAATGTATGGTAGATTCAAATCAAGATGTGGGAGGTTCTTTTGTATGATGCACTACGCAAGAGTAGTGGTCATTTCAAAATTATATTTATGTCAAAATCACTGTACTAGTAATTGGCCAAACGGATTTCAACTGCCATTTTGTGAACCACATCCAGGGAAAACTGAAATGAGCATAAATTCAACAAATTATAAGTTTCTTAAATTAAATTAATATAGCTTAAAGAGCGTTGATCGTCGCACCACGCATGTGCGACCTTGACTGTCACTTGCGTAGACAAGCACAAATTGATACGTTACTAAGCTTTAATTAAGTAATTTCTTTGGGGATTGAAAGGTATTGAAGGAGTCACCAGTGGAAAATAGTACAAGTAGCGCCCAGGTCAAAATTCGTGTTCATGATTTCCATTAGAAGAGCACATTAATTGTAGGGAAATCAATGTTTAGCAACACAAATGTCGCACACATGTGACACAACGACCACCGCCCTTAAATAATTTGTACCCTGGCTTGTTTGTGTAAATCTTCCATTGCTTTTGAAACTTCACCTGTCTTCTCATATTCCAAAATCTCTTTATCCACAATTTCTTTCAATTCTGTAAATGAAATAAAATTTGTACTCAAAATTTTTTGAAAAAGTTTGGACATGCTTTGTTATTCTAACGATATTGATAATTTAAATTTAAACATATTGAATGTTTGGTTCACCTAATCTGCAAATAAACTAGATTGTGATTAAAATAATCAGTAAATATACTTGAGTAGGAAGACTCGCCCTCTGTTTGCGGAAAAGTCCATTGAGATAACATGTTCAGCATAACAAAGCATTTGAATTAATGAAGTGAATATGACGTCATGTTGATGAGCCAGTGCAATGGATATTCGCAAGCACGGATTTTCGCTGATTTCACCCTCCATGCATTTTATTTTAGTAAAAAAAACATGACAAATGGTTGCGCAATCCTAAATATCACTATTTCACAAAAGACGAAAATGTGTTGTTTTACAAAGAACAATTAGGAAAAATTGTTGTTTTCTCAGTTCACACATCTGCACTATTTTGAACTTTTCAAGAAAAAGTTGGCGGTACTTCCTTTCACAGTAAGTTCTTGAAATTAAAACCAAGTGTTGTCAGGGTATCAAAAAATAAAAAGTGTCAACAGAGAATTTTGCTGCCATTTCTCGTTTATGACCCCTGAGTTTCATTAGTGACCTATTTTTTAAAGAAATAATTAGTATTTATGATAATTATTCAAAAAATAATCACATACAAACGTTCATCGACACTTTAACCTTTCACAGCGAAATTATTCTGAAAACCCCCAATCAAATGGTTGAATCACCAAGGCAAAACTTTTTGATTTGTTATTTTGACAGGGTTCAGTTAATCTCCAGTCACATGACCCATATGTAAACAATCTTTGCAAAACATGAATTATCAAATTTCTGAATATTTCAGCTTTCAGAAAATATATAGTTTGCCATAAATATGTTTTGATTTTAATTGCTCAGATCATTTCAACTAAACGATGGGATTCCTCCTGTTGCTACCTTAACTGAATCATCCCTTCAATTTAGTTGCAAGCAAAATAAAGTATCTAAAAGTAATTAAATTATTCTGAGTATGCGCAATTGTTCTGTCTCTGTTGTTGGGAGGGCTAATTTATGATAAAAATTGTGAAAAAGATCTACCGGTACTTAGGATTTTCAGTGCATATCCAGCAGATTACCATCCTGCAAAGTTTCATCTTGAATTAGATCATGAAATGAATAGTAATGCATATATCACCCAAGATGTAAATGTGATTGGACCAGGCATGTCCGAGATACACGCATACAGAATGCATGCATGCAGGTCAAAACACAAGTCCCTGTTTTGAAAGTGTGTTCGAAAAGAAACTGAAAATATTTTGACCATACAAATACCTCTAATTTATCTAAAAGCATGTGTTAATATTAAAGCAAACAGCAGAACATTAGAAGCAAACTGAATCTACAAAAGCCCCAAATGCATTATGGTAGTGTTACATGTGTGTTTAAAACATGCTGAAATGTCAATTGCAGTGTTAAATTAATCGCAACCAGACTGGCTCAATATCACTTACTGCAAAATGTTGGTCTTTCATTTGGTATACCATTCCAGCAATCTTTCATGATTTTGAGTAAAAACTTGGGACAGTCATCAGGAACCTCGTCTAAGCTGGGCCTTTGACCATTAATAACACATTGGCTCATGTGTGCTTCATTTTGGGCATCTATATAAAAAAAAAATAAACCCCTGCTTGAGTATAAGCCCCCCCCCTCCAAATTTACAGCATATTACAACAAGTCATTGAAAATGACAGTCCCCGTTAAATTTTTGAAAGTTCTCTTCGTGCTCGTCATATTAAAGCGGAGGGGTTGTCGCGAGCGTGTCCTTGAAACTTGAGTTCCAAGTGGCGTATACAACAGATTGTTTATTTACATCAAAACACGTGTTCCTTGTAGTAGTAATATGGCCAAAAATAAAAACAGCCGTTATTCGGCCATCTTTGATCTGATTATGAAACACACTGATATGTATGATTGTATGTGCCAAATATGAATGAAAATGGTACATAAATTGTGGAAATATAGTAGTAAGGCCAAAAAGTCAGATGGCTGTCAATCGGCCATCCTTGACCAGATTTTGAAACAAATTGTCATGGACATGCATCCTAACATGTATAAAGTACATGTATGTGCCAAATTTGAATGAAAACTGACAGAGCATGTCCAAGATACCGCATAAAAAAACAAAAACAAGATGCCTGCCAGTCGACTATCTTTGATCCAATTGCGAAAT